TTTATAAATATATTTTTAAAGGATATGACTGTGCTAAAATTAGATTAAGATCAATAAATAGAACTAAACAACAAACTTTGAACTATGATGAAATTAATGCATTTGTTGAGTCTCGTTATATTAGTTCACCTGAAGCTTTTGGAGACTAAGTGAATATGAAATGCAAGAAAAATCTCATATAATTATTCAACTTCCTGTTCATTTGCTACAAGAACAAAACTTATACTTTACTTCTGGTAAAGAACAAGATGCTTTAAATCGAGCAAGTTTAGAATATACAATGTTAACTGCTTGGTTCAAACTTAATAAAGAAAATGAACAAGCAAGAGAAATACTTTATCATGATATTCTTCTTTACTATAGATTTGTTAAACAATATAAAATATGGTAAAAGCAAGTTCATAATGCAAATAATATTATTGGTCGTATGTATATTGTTAGTCCAAAATATCTGAAGCAATATTGTCTATGTCTTTTACTTCTACATGTTCCTGGTGCAGAAAGTATTAATGATCTAAAAACTGTAAATGGTGAACTTTGTAACACATTCTATAAAGCTGTCTGTAAACATGAACTTTTAGAAAATAATAATGAATGGACATGATCTCTGAATGAAGCAGTTTAATAGCAAATACCACGAAAAACATGACAACTTTTCATGATAATTTTAATTTGGGGCACACCACGAGATCCACTATTACTTTGGAACAACTTAAACAACACATAGCAGAAGATTATATAAAATGCTATGATATTGAAACTGCTATATCTTTAGCCTATAATGATATTGACAAAATGCTTCAACCATTTTAAAAATCTTTGTCTAATACTTTTAAAACACATCTATCTAGAATAATAAATGAAACATATTCTATTAAATCTTTTAATAAACAAGAAGAAATCAAACTAGGACAAAAAATATATAACCAACTTAATTTATGTCAATGCTTTGCTATAGATAAAATTCTCTTTGCTATTGAAAAAAATCATCTGATACTTGTTTTTTGTAAATGGGCCAGGTGATACTGGCAAAACCTTTCTTTATCAAACATTATATTATATTCTTCGAGGACGTAATATTAATGTTATAACACTAGCATGGACTGGAATTGCTGCAAACCTTTTACCAAATAGTACAACTGTTCATAATCATTTCAAATTACCCCTAAATTTATCTGATAAATCAACACTACAATTGTCTGCAAGTAGCCATGAAGCAGAAATAATTTGTCAAACAAAAGTCTTTATTTGGGATAAAGCTCCTATGACTTCTAATTGAGCTTTAGATATTATAGACTTTGGATTATATGATCTAACACAAAATAATGCACCTTTTGGTAGAAAATTTATGATTCTAGGAGGAGATTTTCAACAAGTTTTGCCAATTGTATAACATAGGTCTTGTGCTGCTCAAGTCAATGCAAACATAAAACAATAATTATTATGGCCACTTTTTCAGTCATTTCATCTTACTCAAAATATGCGTATTGATAGTAATCAAGATAATTTTTCAAATTGGCTTCTCCAATTAGGTGATGGTCAACTATCTATTGTCTATAATGAAATCTAATTACTGTCTAAATACATAATATCAGATCTAATAACCAATGTATTTGGAGAACTTGAATCAAAACAAACTTCTAAAACCTTGTATAAAAAAGTAATCTCTGCTCTATTAACAAAGAAAGTTTAGCTATAAATGAAAAAATAATCTATAAATTTCCTGGTCAACTAAAGACTTATACCAGTATCAATAAAGCTATCTGTGAAAATGGAGAAGATCCAACTGAATATCCTGAAGAATTTCTCTATTCTTTAATTCCTAATAGCTTGCCCCCTCATAAATTAAACCTTAAAATTGATACTGTAATAATACTACTGAGAAATCTTGATATTAATCAAGGTCTATGCAATGATGCAAGACTTATTATCTGACGTATGCATGAACATGTTCTTGACTGTGAATTAATAACAGAAGAAACTTTCAAAAAAAGAGTACTTTTTCTACGAATTAAGCTGCAACCAATTGAAGAATTTCTTTCATTTGATTTTACACATCAGCAATTTCTAATATAATTGGCATTTTCAATAACAATAAATAAGTCACAACCCATACTTTCCAAAAAATTGGATTGTTATTTGAAAATCTAGTATTTAGTCATGGCCAGCTCTATGTCACTTTATCTTGTGTTTGTAATTTTGATTCTATTTATATTAAACTCCCTCCTAACAAAACAACTATCAAAAATATTATATTTCATAAAATATTTGAATAAACAAAATAATTTCTAAGTAAAATTTAATATCATTAATTCAACAAATATGTTGCAATATAATCATTGTTAAAAATATCAACACAATTTTTACAATATATATTGTTATTAAAAAGTTACGTATATTATATTAGAATAATTATCTATATATATATTATAACAAGTTGCAAGAAAATTAAAGATCACCAATTTTATATATTATTAATATTCATTTATTTAAAGCTTTTCTTATTTCTTTTTATATATCTTTTTATTTAAACTACAAATTACATCATTGATTATCCATACAATATTTAACTCTATCAAACATGTCATTGATTAACCTGTAATAACAAAACCGCAAGTTTAATTCCTATACGAAACTAACCAAAGTAATTTGTAATATCTTACACTTACTTTTTTTATTTTAACATGCTACTAATTGCTTTCTCTGGTTAAACTCTCATCAATTAATATAACCTCAAATTATATCTCAAAACTAATTTGAACTACAATACTATCGCTTATTTTACGACTCAAAAACTACTTGATAAGAAAAAATACCATGTTATATAATAATGCTAACAACTATAAATATTAAATATGAAATAAGAATACTTAATCGTAAACATTACAGTTTAGTTCCAGTTTAAAACCTTTTATATAATTACTGATAATACCCTAAGATCGTTAATAAAAAAACAGTAAATACAACAGTAAACCTGACAATAAGTCATATTTCTTAATTTTAATTTTCTTACTATTACACTTTAAATTTTTACTAAATAATGATAATATAATCAAATCAATCCTTTTATCATAATTATTAAGCATATTTACTATATGGCACTGACTACAATATCCTTCTACTATATTATTTCCTAAAAAAAAGACCTGTGTACATTTTGTGAAGTCACGATTCAAAAACTTGAAAACTCAGAATTAGTACCCGAGTAAATACTATTCAAAAATAATCCTTCATGTACTATAATCACTGCTATACAATAATTATTTTATTCTAGATTAATCAAATAAAATGTAAACTACTATGAAATAACCACATTATATCTCTATTCTTTGTATACACATATGTATTAACTAAACAATTATAAAGTAGCTTATTATTTACAACTTATATATTTGTTTTTTTAAAGTGACAAAAGATATCAAAATTACATGGCAGTTTATACAACAATTATATATTATATAATTAACTATTAACAAATTAATCTATATTCAAAATATAAATATAACTATATTAACAACATTTTATATAAATTTTCAAAAAATTTTATGCACAGTATCACAATTTTTCAAAATAAAAAAAAATTACATGAACATGCCTTGCTACGCTGACACAATAGTAAAAATTAAACTTGTTCGACAAAATAAAAGTAATAACCAAACAATATCAGTATAGGCTATCAGATCTTATGTTAGACAAGATGACAATGAAATTGAAATGACTATTTACGTACTTATCAACCCTACAGATCGTGATCCAGATGCTCAAGCAATCTTTAAAAGAGATGAATATTATTCGGTTGAAGGAAAAATCATCTCTACACACTATGCTGGAATTACAAGACCAAAAGTACTATCATACTTTATTATTATTGCAATTTGCAAAATTATATGAAATTTGAAAATCATTAAAAAAAAATAATCACTGACTTCTGATTACTATATTTTTAGATGACAGTATCAGCTTCAACACATTTGACTATCCTTAATAAAGACTCTATGTCAAACAAAAGCCCTCTCAAAGTTTCTTTAGCAGGAATTCCACAAAAAATGCCAGCTGAATTTAATGACACTGATGCTATACTTGAAATAATGATGCCTGACGGATGACGAATCATTCGTCATTGACGTATGACGAAACCATTTCGTCAAGCGACCTTGAATTGACGAATTGACAATTGACGAAACCTATGCCGATTGACGAAACCTTAACGATTGATGAAACATATGACGAAACCTAATAAGTTATAAATTTTTATAAGTACAATTAAGAGTTAATTACAGTATTTAAAACATATATGCACTCTATGTATTTTAAAACTTACTTGATAACTATTTAATTGCTCTAGTAATAGTAACAACAAAAAAATAAGTTTTTCAATAAAATGGTGATAATGCATGCTTCAAATGGTGATAATGCACGATTCTGTAAAAATAGATAATAATAAGCTACATAACAATATATACTTATGAGTAATCATATACACGTTAAATTGGACAAAATTGTATTTCTTGATTTCAGCATCCTTGGATGCTAAAATAAGTCATGTGAGCACAAAAAAAATTCACACCCCAGAAAAGCTGTAGAAGCCACAAGAAAGTCGTGAGTAAATTTCGAAGCATTCGGCCAGATTGTTGCAAAGAAACCAGAGAAAAATCTATACCGATTCTACCCAAATAAGCAGAACGTATATACGTATGTACATGTATAATTCTCTTATTATAAAATAATGCCCACCCCTGGTCTATCTTGCATATATGTGCATAAATGAATTTAGCTAACATTATAAGGATTATGATCATTGATAACTGTAATTGTACATGAATTAATAATCAAATGTGTGAAAATTGTACTTTAAAATTCGTTATTCGTATTTTGTTAATGTTAGACTAATTGAGGTGTAGATAACAAAATTTTTTTTTTCTATAAAAATTTAATAGAAAATAGTGATTTCAGAAAATTCTATAAAAAATTGATTAGTGATTTTCACTATATGACTTGCACTATATTTGTGATCAAATCTATGGAAGATACCCCAAAATGAAAAGTATCTCATTTGTTAAAGAACTTGACCAAAATTGACACAATTAATGCAATAGGGCATTGGTGGCACTCTATTTTCTCTTGTATCGATATATATTAGTAATTGAATTGGTAATACATATAAGTATGTGAAACAATAAATTTAAACATGAGTAAAATCAATGGAACTTTTTGAGTATAAAAGTAATTTAACTTGCACTTGTAAGATTTGTTGCCCCATCAAATTTTTTCAGTATTTTTGCATTAAACTTAATAATTTTTTTTTAAATATAAAAAAAATTGAATTTATCATCCACAAGAAATGTTTATGTCGGTCAAAGGCAATGCAATTCATCTTAATATTTCAGTTAT